TTCGGTCTAAAAAGAGGCTGCGGACAGAGCTGCTGCGTGAAGTTTACCGGGTTTTGCAAACACCAAGGTTATTCTATCGGTTCGAATTTGGCTTATTAGTTACAGGTTTATGCCATTAAACACCAAAATCTACATAAAGACCAGTCATTTAGAAATTTGAGCCGTTTGTGTGCACTTAATTGCCCGTATTACGATTTGCGCATCCGGAATGTTTTAAGGATGTTGGCATTCCACGATGTTTCTAGAAACCACAGTCTGACATGTAGAATGGTAGAAAAAATTCTGTCGACATTTAATCTCTCTAAGACGAATTTACAGATGGGAATCTTGGAAATAACGTTCACTTTAATTTGGCCTATTGCTATCGTGTTATCGTTTCCTAAGAAGATCCCCCTATGGATAATTTATTTAATCGATTAATGGAATTATCGTGCAGAAACACAATCTATAAAGTACTGAAGCACTTTACTCAGTATGCATTAGTTTGTCTAAGCTTATTATATTTACATTACCATAAGGTTAATTGGACATAAATATGCCCACTTTTATGTCTAAGTTTTGGTGAGGTTTATCCTGTATTTCAGTCGGAAAGATGTTATTTATATACCTTGTCAATGTGTTTTTTTTACAAACTCTAATTCTTTCCTTAATAATGCAAATGCATCGGTTGGTACTGTTAGTAGCAAGGGACATAACTATATTGGTATTCAAGCAAAGGCAAGCATTATGTAAAAAATATTCAAACAGAATACAATGGAGGTCAGATAATTGAATGCGTGTATAAATAAAATGTAATCCATTGACTTCATAGGACTGTTACGTGAGTAAGTTTTTGCAAACTTTTAAAAGTCACTAAAATGTAATCAATGACCACATGGGCCAGACGACAGATTAAACTATTGCTCGGAGAATATAAAGCGAATCGTGACTGCCATCGCTGGAAACGTCTGATGTCACAAACAGGTCAGCGACATTTGTCTCATCATAAACAACGTCAATGTCAAAGAAATGCCAGCGTTAACCGGATAATTAGAAGGTGCAGCCGCATTTTCCTATACTACAGCATATATCGGCTAATAAGACCTGGGCAAACTAAAATCATCTCTCTTCTTTGCCTAATAGTTTACTCAACTTCGATGCCACTCAAAGCATGTCATACTCGCGTGGGTGCATACACCATAAAACTATCCCTCGTATGGCATGTAATCTAAAAAACCGAGATGGAATTTGGAATATTCCATCTCTGTTGCAGAATCCACACCGATTATTACATTTCAGTAAATAATTCGATTGACTGTTTACACATTTATTCAAGTTTTGCATTTTGGCGCATTGCTTTGCAAGAGTCGGATCGTCTTTTAGTACTCAAATTCCATTAAGAGTTCCAATGCACATTGAGTAGTTTTCAAAAAAATACATATTCTAACCCCATATGCACTGTGGTTGTGATGAATACTGTAAAAGCGTCTGCCAATTCCATGCTACCAAAGGTAAATCGCAGTTGGCCAAATCGTCAACCGCGAGAAAGATTATTACTGAGGCGAACATTTATTGTTTGTGTGCGTTTAACCGTGGAGGGCAGTCAAACGAGAACGCAGGAGTTTAATAACACTTGAGGTGACGTGTAGGAGGGGCTAAGATTTCTATTTCCTTCCTCACGGGATGTCCGAAATCTTCTTCTCATTTCGCTCGTGTTGGCTTATAAAACTCCGACCATTGTTTCGCCACATACCGATATACTTCAGCTGGTATGCGGACTGAGAGAAGTCGGATAGTACTTAGCCCACCTGAATAAGAAAATAATCCATGTATTTGCAGATGGAGCATTATTAATGTCTACATATGTTAAATCTGCACTTCACGCATTTCACCCAAAAGGTTGTCGTTATCTCGTAAGAAAGTATCCGTGAGCAAACATTCTTTCTAGGTGCCGAGTCGCGGTCTGGTGTTTGGAGCGGCGAAGACAAATCATCATTGCGTCATTCAGTTCTACACAGACACTGTTTCATCATTTGATCCACCTGGATCAGCACTGGTGGTCGACTGTAGTTGTGGATTATGAGGGTTAAAGAGCCAGCGAGAGAAGACCGACACCATCGTTTACGGCTGCGTCCAGTTAACTATTGCTCCACGCTAGCAGCTGTCGCGCTGATAAAGACGTTTGCTGTTTGTGGTCTCACTCTTTTTCCGAATAATGTTCGCTTGCCTTCGGCAGTTTACTAAAATGCTTACAGCAGAAGGGACTTTTAGCAAATCAATGATTTTTATCTACAGGTTTTGCTTGAAATAACCGCTGATTACACTTGTTTTGGACACGATTTTTTGTCTAGAACGTTAAATGTAAAGGGATCAGTCAAGACATTCGGATTACCAGAACCTAACGTGCACTCTATATCTCCAAGAAGATCCCAAAATGCACTTTTATATTCATATTACACTTGCGTATGTGTGAAAGATAGATGCTAGTCATCGTGGCCATCAGGCTGTCAGGAATTACATTATGGCCCAGTCTGGTACTTGAGCACGTGGGAGCGTGTGCGTACCCGATCCTGGTCGCCAATACGAAGAGAAAGAACCTGATCGACCACGGGAAAAGGATTAAGGAAATCGCAACTTAAGATTAACTGGAAGTAATGCACACTTTGGACGCCCCGCTGAGATTCGCCGACATTCGGCCCAATGCCGTTTGTGAAGAAAATTCCGGACGAGCTGGTCGATAATTCGAGTAAGCAGACCGATCACAATGGAGGGGGCAGCCAATGGAGAGGCGCCACGATTACGCTAGAAGCGCTTAGAGAAAACAAATATGGCCTCCAGTGAGTGGCTAGCTCATGTTTTTTGGGAGTTTAGGCACTCCCAACACTACCCTCCAAGTAGGTCAGTACAGCTTTTAGTGCGGATTGACCTGCATTGGCAGTGCCAATCGGCGTACGCTATTTGTCCGGCGTCTTAGTCGTCGTGTGTTGTCTGGAGACTCGAGGGCAGTGACTAATACCGAAGGCGCAACATCTGAAGAAGGCGCAGCAGTGGGTTCGGGAACCGACCGATCTGCCGAAATGGCGAAGGGGCAACAATCGGGATACTAATAATAGTGTTGTATGGGTGGTGGCATGTCGGCATGTACGATACTAGCCGACCGAAAGCCTTATTTGAGCAGGTGAATGATAGAAGTTGGCCCGCTCTCTGTCCCGTTATTACAAAATTGGTTGGCAAAGGCTGTATAGTGATAACGAACGATTGGAAGGCGTATAATCGTCCTCCTTCAGAATGTTATCTACATTTCTCCGTTAACCACTCCAAGAACTTCACGGACCCTACCACCGGACGGCACACCAATGCTATTGAGGCATACTGAGTAGACTGAAAAGGAAACTCCACGAGGGAGGCCCTGTATGTGGTCCAGCTGTGTAGGCTCACATCGACGAAGTACAGTATCGTCTTTGGTTTGGACTCAATGACAAGTCTTTTACACATGCCTGGGAACTGTTCCTGTCCGATGTTCTGCAGACTCATCCTATTTAAAAGTGATTATGTTTTGTAATTAACTGCCATAATGCGATTGTATGCTGTATATTCAAGTGCACGTGTGCAGCGATGGGGAGGGTTGGGTAACGCCGACCATCGTCCATGTAACCTCTTGCGATGTTCGTTCGGCTAGCCCATGTTAGGCCGTCGAGGATAGTCGAAGATATAGCCTTAGGACGCTTGAGTCCACTGTTAAAGGCATAATTTCTAGATAACTGATTTTTTTGGGTGCCATCTCCCGATTGTTACCGGCGAAGGTATCCAGTAGGATGTCAAGAGGGAGTGACGGCACCAACTCAGGCCCGGTTGTGTTACTGCAATTTCGCCTACGGATCTGGTTGCGGTGACGAACCCGGTTATCATCGCCAATGTCGACATCAAACAATATACTGCCTCTGTGAGCTGCTACGATTGCCTCAATCAAGTCTGGGAACCCACCTCGATAATCACGATAAAAGACAGGTGTTCCGTCGAAAGGCATCCTGTGCGAGACTGGAGAAGTTTGCACAAGGTGCACATCGGTCCGCCGGACCGTTAGACTGAGGATGGTAGAGCGGAGAGCGAAGTAAACTGAGAACCATTATTTGAAGCCAGGATTTCCGGTAAGTCATGCCGGCTTACGATGCCTCTTAGGAAGGTTATGGGGGCAGATTCGGTCGCCGAACTCAGCGGAGCAATCTCAGGCTATTTAGAGTAGGCGTCAACCAATACTAGGTAGTTGACTCCGTTAAGTGGGCAAACAAAGTCGATATGCACGCGTGACCAAGGCCTCTCCGGTGGTTGCCATTTTATTGGAGATAGGCGAGGCGACATCTTGGCAGCTTCTGAACATCGATACCACAGTCGAACCAGCGAGAGCAGTGGTTGGCCAGCACGTAGGTGATGGTCTGACGGAGGACAGGATATTGTTCAGTAGCCCGTTGGATGTCCACGGCAGTGACAGGGATACTGCGTATGACGTCCTATAGTTGACGGCGCACATCATCCTCAATCGAAATAGCGGCAATCACGGTATCCTCCGCAGGCTCCTGTTGATTGCTTATGAGGCGAGAAAGGGCGACTGCCTGACCAAAGTCTGTAGTACGACAGGAGCAAATGCCGAAATCGTTGTCAAGAAGGATGGTTGTCCATCGCTGAAGTCGGCTGGCTGAATAGAAGGGAATTCCCTTCTTCAAAACAAAGATTGACAGCAATGGTTAGTGATCCGACAACAACGTAAAGTGACGAGCAAACAACAATCTGTGGATCCTCTTGGGGACAAACACGAGAAGTAGGACCTCCTTTTCTATTTGCCGGTAGTTCTCGTTCCACGAGAGTTAGCGTGACAGATGCATGCATGATCGCCTTTTCAGACTAATCAGAAAACGCTTTTGAGATGACGACGCCAACTCCGTGTTTGGAAGCATCTGCAGAGACAACGATCAGCAGCGTCTGGTCGTAGTGTTTGAGCAGCTGAGCTGAAATCAGCATAAAATTTAGCTGGGTGAAGGCCTTTTCGTGGTTGAAGGACCAGCACCTGTGAGCATTCCTCTGCAGCAGACGGGTGAGCGGGCACCGTACGCGTGCAGCGATGGTAGAAAGGTGCTATAGTAGCTGATCAGGACAATGAACGAAAGAAGTTGCATACGTACTTGGGTACATACATTCGTTGGATGGCCCGAATGTTTTCAGGATCTGGATGGCGACCAGTGACGTCAAAAACGAATCCAAGGTACTTGATGGAGTCGAGGAAAAATTGGCACTTGTCTGCCCGCAGGCGGAACCCATATTCCTGTACCTGTTCGAGTTCTGCGCACACTCGGTCTTGCAGCTCGGCAGGGGAGCGACCCACGATAATGGTGCCATCCAGATACCCAGCTGTCCCAGGGATGCCGGAGCGCATTGCTTTCAACGTTTGTTGGAGTACGGCAGGGGTGGTCTTGACACCAAAGGGCAGCCTAGTATATTGGAACAGACCGTGTTGGGTGTTGATGGTCAACAATTCGCGCTAATCTGGGGCGACCTTGATCTGCAAATACGCATCAGCGAGATCCAACTTGGCAAAACAAGTGCCACCTTTTAACAGGGTGAAAAGACCAGCCGGCAGTGGATAGCAGTTCGGCGTCCGCGCGGCATTGAAACCGGTTCGGATCGAGCCATTGGACTCCCTAACCACAACGACTGGAGCGGCCCAAGCAAATAAGCATGTAGTAAGTAGGACTTCCAATTCCTCCAGACGCCTGAGGTTAGCCTCGATAAGTGGTAGGGCTGCATATGGAACTGGTCACTTTGGACGGAAGACTGGTTGAATTCCAGGAGACAGATGTAGCATGCCTTGCGTGCACGTGAAACGACCTAGGCCGTCTTGGAACTTCAGTGTAAACCGTTGGAGAATGTCATTGTCTTGGTCTGCGAGCCCAGCCGTAAACTGCACCTGACTGCAAACAACACGAAGCGGCATATTGGCCAAAGTGAGTTGTTAAATCCAGTCGAGACCAAGTAGGCTCAGATCAGGCTTAATGATGTAGCAGATCGCAGAGAGGCTGGCACCGTAGAACGAGACATATGTAATTGCAGTTGCCCAGTTAGCTGTACGAGACCACCGCACGCGCTTGTGGCGGACTGGGACGACTGCTGCATCGTGGGGCTGCCAAGGGACTGCCAGAGTCTCTCAGAGATGACGGTGATATCTGAGGCAGTGTACAACTGTAGGCGAACTGCATGGTCATTGTGCAAAGGGTCGACAAACTTTCAACAACCAGACGCATTGAGCTGGAAAGCGTCCAAGAGAGTGCGAGAATCACCAACGGACTGGGGCTTGCACTTTCGTTTTGGCCGAAAACGGCGCGTGGAATTAGGAATGCCGGCACAGGCCTATTTTCAGAAGCTGGCATTGACATGCAGAACCCTTCACGGGGCCCAACCTGATAACAGCCCTAGAAGCGATGCCGGCGGAAAGTGATATTCCGATGGAAATGCCACGCGCCACAGTGCCGACAAAGAAGTGGCGGAGATCTCGCGGGGACACTTGCTTGGCCCGCGTAACAGCATGAGATTTAATCGATGCTACCGTATGGACTGAGCGAGATGAGGCAGGGTTCTAAATCATTGCAGAGTCGTGCTTCAGGTTGATCAGCGTTTGGTACTCTACTGCCAACTCTTGGAGTGTGGCAGAGTTGTTCTGTTGCAATCTTGACAGGAGACGTGTCCGGATGTCGGCATCCTTGAGGGACTGGAGACATTTAAACTGGTGTTCATTGAAAAAAAACACTGTTAAAACCGCCCACACTTGCGACTGACAACGCCCGCATACGTGATGATATCACTGAATCCCGCTTTGCAGTTGCAAGCAGTGAAATCGAGTGTTGACAAGGGATGCTTGCTTACCAAATATCGGCGACAACGTCTGAATCGTGTTTTTGAAATTTCAGATTTGGGGTTTTTTGGGAGGAATGAAGTTGGCATAAGGTTCATGTGCGCCGGAACACTGTTTTCGTAGTAGAAGTCGAACCTTCCATGCATCATTCTCGGCAGTCAAATCGACGGAAAACAAGTCCTTGTGTCGTTTGTAACAGTAATCGAAGGTGATATAGGCCTGCGGGTGATGCAAAAATTCAGTGATGCTGCTGGCAATGTGATCGACAGAATGTGAAGCTGTAAGCTGGACAGTTTGCATCCAAAGGGCGAAGAATCCCAATCTTATTCATCTTAACCTTGTTCGCAAAACAAGACTAGTTACGTGCATAGAGAGGATCATGCAGTAGAAGACGATGGACGTAACGGATTATTCGGCATGCACCCCATGCTGATGCACGTGTAACTGCGCCGGGGAGGCTATCTGGCGAAGGGGGGTAACGAATCAGTCCTAGAGCGATTCTTCTATGGCGATCTAGCCACAGGTGTTCGTCAACAAAACGGATAAAAGGAGCCCAATAAGAATGCCCCAAAAACTTCCCAGGCAATCCTAAATGAACCCCAGACCGAGGGAAACCTTACACTAGACCGATTGCTCTGGAGAAGCTCTCTTCTTCACTGCAGTCTAGGCAAATCAACCTACGCACCTTTGTTCATGCAGATATTATTTGTCGTTTATCCATTTTTGGCATTGCCTAGGCGTTGGGGTTCGCTTCGCCCACTATCTTGGCTGCTGACAGATAAAGAGCGGATACGCACTGTAGGCAAAATTGCCTGTCATCACCGCTTCTCGACGTACCACCATTTCTCTTATCGAAAAACGTCAGATACTTGAATGAACACAGCTGGGAGACTACAATCATCACTGCCACGTATTACCAATGTTTCGCAGCACACTGGAAGCGGTGGCCTGCCTTGGCTCGGGATAAGTTTGCGTATGATGGACTACTTGGCAGATAGATCGACTGAGGAAGTGGAGGATAACTTAGGTAATTGCCAAAAAATCAGTAGATTCATTTATTTAGTTGTGCAACTGGTCGGTCAACCAGTGTTTAGCCACTGGATTCCACAAATGTCGGCCATAATCTCTAGCCCAGATGTCGCGTCCGCAGTTAATTCGGCAATGTGAGACGTCTCATTGGATGCTCGGTGCTTTAAGCATCAACATGCGATATCCGGTTTAATCAGTCAAGTCCACCTGAATGCCATTCGCGTGTAGCTGAGTGGCAAGGCGGATCAAAGTCACGTTTAAGTTTGCATTCGCAAATGCTTTTTAACGTGACAAGCCCTGCCTTGTGCAATATTGGCTCACGGGAATGTTAAGGTTTCCAGTTGTAGGTAAACCGTGTAGGTCTGACGAGTTGTAACATATACCTCGTGTAGACGGTGGCCGCAGCTAACGACTACTAATTGACATTAAAGTATCGTCTGCGACTCCCTGAACCTAGGACAGAAATAACGACCACGTCGCCATAATTAGCTGGATGGGAGGCCTAAGCCGGTTAAATGTGTCAGATGTTCTGTCTCTTCTCATGCCCAGAAATTCAACCGCACCACTTTTTTCTCCCCTATTTAAAGCAAAAATCCTTCGAAAAGGGGGACAGGCAGTTCCGTAAAACGCCACTGATAACTCGATTGTTCATCTTCTTAACAAGTGCTTGATCCATATCGGAGTTTTGAATACATATGGAATATCGCTAAAGTCATAATTCGGGACGACACTATTCACCCCCGCTCAGCAAAGAGGCTAAGATTGTGATTTTTACGAATTTCGGAATCGTCAAATCCTCACGCTGACAGTAATTTATAGATTATAACTCATGTAGAAAAGGTCAATAAACAAAAACACTCCCTCCCATGCAACGCTGGCATTGCCTATGTCATCAAGAGAGACATCGTGGGGTGAACACCCTGCCTACCGTAGGGCATCAACTACCGTCGGATGATCCTTGGGCTAACTACATAGTGAATCAACTTCGACATCTATGTCAGCGTTTATGCCTCCTCAACAACATTGACTGGATCACGTTCGCTTCCATACTTCCTAATCCCTCAACGGCCATTTGTGAAGTGGACGCTTCACCAAATGCCAACAGAGCTTCCAGCCATACCACGGAAAACTGACATGGTATCCGTCACCCTTCAACTAAAGTAGAAGAGTCAGTAAATTACGAACAACATCTACAGTATTTCGTGGACTTCAAACAATGTGGCTTGTTATAACGTGTAGAAAACTTACGTAAACCTGGCTCCCCTGTGCGATTAATGCATATGAGGTTCCATGGACCATGCACAACTTATGAGTCGTTTATTCAGTGTCGGCACGACCTAGGCGTTCTGTATCGATTAACGCGCTGTCCCGGTTTCAGACGAAGATGCGAAGATAAGACGCTGTATGTCAATTGCCTGCAGTCACTGAATGTCGACCTACCAACCCGTTGTTCGCATAACCTCGTCATCTGCTTGACAAAACATAACCTGTGCCCTGTAGTCCTTACTGTCACTCAGTACGAAGGTTCCGCTACACACTGGGAGCGGTGGCCTATACTGACCCAGACTGAACTTTAGGTTAGGCAAACTACATGATAGATAGGTATGAAAGAGAGATAGTTTTAATTTACCACACAAAAAACTGCTTTAAATTAACACCAGCGATGCTTTGGCGGACTGATAAGGGCTTAATGAAGTCCAGATTGATGTGCATTTTGAAAGATAGCTGAATGTTGAACGGACGGATGCTTAAAATCCCTGGGGATGACTTTCCACCTCCGATCGTCTATGCAAAGTTTAAGTGTAGACCGCGTATACATGACATTTCCAAAGAGCCAGCTTATTTCTTCTATATGTTCAGCACTGAAAAAGAAAACGAAAAACGCGCAATGTCTCTAGACTTTTGGTTTGAAAAACCTCTTAGTTTGAACGAAGTTAAGCAATACGGATAAATAAGGCTGTTCAAAACCGGCAAAGAACCGGTCAATCGACATTTACAATTTTTACTTATTTTTGATAAACCATCAGACTACATTTTGAATATAGGCAGAAATATGGCCTACTTTTTTGAAACTTTTATTACAACCCGTGAATGTCTATCAATATTAGCGTGACTTGTACTTATTATAGCATAGAAATGCGCTGTGCAGAAATAAAGAAGTGGATTTTCTATGTGAAAGCATTATTCTTGCAATTACGAGCATCCAAAACTTAATTTGTACTCAGTAATGTAAGATGTTTGAGCCACTATATGTATTCAGTGGAATTTTATAGCAGTTTAAATTTTTATTTTCGGTAGCGCACCAGTGATTTATTATAAGATTAGTAAGAAATTATAAGGCTGACCTGAAGGCTCGTGACCTAGAGATATCATTAATAACGCAATAAATTAATTGTACAGTTATTATGTCGGGAAGGCAATGAAGCTTGTTAAAATTGACTTCTAAACTAAATAGTATTGTGTTCCAGTAACACGCCGTTAAATTGCAAGACCGATGT